GAGACTTTGTCATTCTAGGCAGAGCTCAAGTCTGTATGAAAAATTCGAGTCTTGTAATCATCCTTATAAAATACAAGATGTGTTTCATACGTCATGAGCAACTAAATACTTAAAAGATATAAGAAGAAAGATTAAAAGTGTTAGATGATTTAGCAATAGTCTCTCTGGAGCACTGAAAGTTCTGTGAAAAGGCCAAAGCTGGTATGCGTCAAGGCCACTAAATCCAGAATTGTGTTGAGAGGAGGCAAAATCAGGTAATTTTCTTAATCGAGTACTCTTATATCTATCTTGTTAAAACTTGTTATCTATTTCTTAGGGGGGGTGTATTTAATTAGGATTTTTAAGGACTTTTTAAGACTTTAGAAATCCTGGTGTATTCAATTTAGATTTGTTAAGACTTTTTAAAACTTTTAAAAATCCTGGGGTATTCAATTGGGATTTTCAAAAGTCTTACAAAATCCTGAGGTATTTAATTTTTTTGACACTAGGATTTATTAAGACTTTTTAAGATTTTGTGGGATTTCTAAACAAAAAACCTTATATAAAATCCCACTTCAAATCCTACCTCCGGACTTGAGATTTCATAGAATTCTTTCAAAATCTGAAAATCCTAGAAAGTCTCAAATCTCGAAAAGTCTTAAAATGTCACTTAAATTCCGAATTGAATACACCCCCCTTAGTTTCTCATGGATAATAGTAATTTTTGGTATATGTCATATAGAGAAATATATAAGGATATAAATTGTCTCAAATCATTAATAGAACAAAGTGTTTCATTAACAAAAATGTTAAAAGAAAATGAACAAATGTTATTGAACATAGTGAAAATTTATGCACCTAAAGAACATTCAGTAGAAGATGAAGTTCATTTTCGAATATGCGATGATATTACTTCTTCAATTACCAGGATTAAAGAGTTAATAAAGAAAGCTGAATACCAAGCATCTATTCTAAGTGTTCAAATAAGACTAAGAATTCTAAATATAAGATAATAAACGATAAATAAGGACAACGAATATCAAGTTATAGAAAATATAGAAGAACAAGGAATTTATTTATCAGATATATTATTAGATAAGAAGGTAGTAACAAAAGTAAAAAATAAAGAAAATTTAGATTTAGAAAAGAAAGAAGGAATAAATAATAGTATATTAGAAAAATTAAATAGAAAAAACATAATACATTATGGAATAATGAATGGAGAACAACCGATTAGAATAGAACAAGCAAATTATAATTTTCAAATAGAAAAGAGATTAGAAAAAATAAAAGAAGAAGATAGAAAAAAGATAAGTTATATACACATAAACACAGTACAAATAGTATTACGATCAACATTTAGAGGAGGAATAAAAACACCCGTCAATATAAAAGTTGAAGATAATAGAATCATGCATAAAGAATCAAGAAAGCTAGGAGAAATAGAAGGAGATTTATGGTACGGAGTAATTAAATTTAACATATCACTACAATTCCTTATACCCTTCTTGACCAAGAAAATTAATAACTGCATAGGAATATGTAATTTTCAAGAAAAAACATTAATGGAATCATGAGATATACCTATGATTGTTTGTTATAGAATAGCGTATGCATTAAGCAATAGTAGTCTAAGCATGAATTATCAAAATCAAGAAAGAATATATACACAAAAAATATTCAATGAAAACAGTACTATTATTAAAAATGATAGAATCCAAAAGGAATTCTTAAGAGAACATAGTAGACGATTATTTAGTAATCCTTCAAATTTAGGAAAACTAACTGGAAATAATTTATTAAAAATTCTAGAAATTGAGGAACCTCATAGTAGCAATAGTTTATATAAAGGAACTATAGAAATAGAAAAATTAAATAAACAGGTAAATGAGTTAAGCTCATTAGTGATAAATTTAAATAATAAAATATAAAATGGATATGAGAGATATAAATCTTGAATTAGCTGAACTAAAAAGAAGAGAAATTAAAGAAGTAGATTATCTAATAAAAAAAATTAATTCAATATACATATATAGAAAAAGATGAACAAAAATTAAAACAAATAAATTATGAAGTACAAAGGCATAAGCAAAAATTTAAGAAATTTCATAAAATAGGACCACCCAAAACAATAATATAAATGTCTTCAAAAAATGGAGTATATAAAATCAGACCAGAAAAAATATCTAAAAGAAAAACAAGTTTTTCAGACACACAAAGACTAAAAGAATTTCTTTCTAATTGTCGAGTTCAATTAGATGGCGAATTTAAATATTCTGAAAAGAAAAGTATTGTTAGAAATAACTTTACTAGATTAATAGATTTTTTAAACAAAGATATCAAAAAACATATGGAAGAACATAAAGAAGAACCTGATATTAACCAACTTATTATTGAAAAACTAGAAAAAATAGAAAATAAAATAAAAACATTAGAAGAAAAAGGCACTACTATATCTTTCAGAGAGTGGTTTAATTCTTAAAAATATTCTAAAACAAATGAGACAAATTAAATTTAAAACGGTAAGAAAAAATTGGTATCAGAGCAAGGCAACGATTTAAAATAAAAATGAGTACAATAAAAATTTATCTTGACATAGAATGGGAAATTCAAAATATCAAAACAGATATAATAAAATATACTTATTTACATGAAATTACAAGTGAAGAATTTTATTATGATATAATGATGATATGTGAAAAACAATTAAAAAGATTAATAAACCTACAAAAACAGGTAACCGTGGCATAAAATAACATAATAAAATAAGTAAAAGTGCTTGGAATATTGTTTATATTCTTGTCCTTTAATTGATTCACACGTAAAATTGGAAAACCCAAATGTTGACTTGGTATTTATGTAAAATACCCAAAAAAAAAAAACATTGTTTCAAGTTGTGAATTTTCATAAATCATCTGCTCTTTTTTCCAAGAATACTCCTGATGGAACTCAATTACAAATCTGTGGAATGTTGTCTGGGATTAATAGAGTCAGATCTTCTAGATACTTGGGTCTTCCCCTAGGTATAGAAAGATCCAAAAGGGACACTTTTCAGTATATCAGTGAGTGTGTGAGATCTAAAATTCTGAGTTGGAAAAATAAATATTTGAGTGAATCAGGGAGAAAAATCCTTATTAAGGCTGTTTTGAGTGCTCTTACTATATATGTTATGTCATGTTTCAGAGTTCCAATTGCTATTATCAATCAAATTTTGTGCTGATATTGCCAACTTCTGGTGGGGTAGAAATGAGCAGGGGGGTTGAGAGTTCATTGGGTTGTATGGAGGAAACTAGCTAAGGATAAGGAGGATAGGGGATTAGGGTTTAAGGATTTGAGGGTTTTTAATGAGGCTTTGTTGGTTAAACAGTTATGGAGGTTGTTGACTTCTCCTAACCTTTTAGTGAGTAGAGTCCTTAAGGGTAGGTATCTTGGAAATTGTAGCCTGTGGGAGGTTAAAGCTAAACAGGGGGACTCTTGGTTGTGGAAAAGCTGGTTGGGGGCTAGGGGATCTCTAAAAATGGGTGCTAGGTTTGAAGTGGGGAATGAGAATAGCATTAATGTGTGGGACTCTCCATGGATTCCCAATAAACCACCCAGCTTTAAACCTAGATGTTGTTTTTGGGGGGATAGAAATAGAATTCAGAAAGTGAGTGAGCTTATTCAGGAAGGTGGGAGAGAGTGGGATAGGGATTTAATATTTCAAACTTTTGACCTAGGTGATGCTAAGCTAATCTTAAAAATTCCATTATTTGGGTTAAGAAAACAAGACAAGTTGATTTGGAATGGAAACAAGAAGGGTGAATTTTCTACCAAAGCTGTGTATCACACTTTAATGGCAGAGAAGGGTGAAATCAAGGATTTACCTTCTACAAGTGCAGCTGGAAACTGGTGGAAGGGAATGTGGCAGTCTACTTGGTAGCTAGATGTGAAACCTAAGACCAAACTATTCATTTGGAAATGTTGGTTTGATTATTTAGGGGTTAAAGAAAGACTGTGCAGAAGAGGGATGCATTTGGATGTGATTTGTTCTATCTGTGGGGAGAAGTCTGAGAACCTAACTCATATGCTTTTTAACTGTCCAAGATCTGCTGCATGTTGGAAATTGTGTGGACTGACTTGGAACTTAACTACTCAAAATTCAGAAGATTTTCAAGGATGGTGGTGGAGCATTTGTTTCAAGGGGATGAAAGTAGAACTGCTTTTCTCATGTGGAGTATTTAGAAAGCAAGAAATAAATGGGTCTTCAAGAGCGATTGGATACATGAGAAAGAGATTGTGGATGGTGCAAGATCTGAATGGCTTGAATGGGAGCAGAAACAACTTCATGGGAGAGTTACACCTAATTCAGATAATCATCCAGAGGGAGTATGTAAGCCTTGGTTGGCTATCAGTGCTCAATTATCTGAAATGGGGGTCACCACAGTGGAGTGCATATTGAAGAGGAAGGATGATAGCAAGTACAGTGGCAAGATACAGTGGACATGGGTTATTGATGGTGTTACATCTGATCTTGAAGCTGCACTTTTTAGCTACCCAATGGTGTCTGTTGAAGGTGACAAGCTCTGAAGTGAACTGGCTACAGTGTCATGGGTTCTTGAATAATGATGGTGCCATCAAAATTATGAAAAAGAAGTCTACTGCAGATTATGCTTTATGCTCTCTTATATCTTCTATTCAGGACTTGATTGTTATGTGTAAGATTAAAACTTTTAAGGTTTTTTAGCGCTTTNNGCTCTTTGTTTTACAAATGAAATTGCACGCTGGGGTCTTTCTTTTTTCTTTTTTTACCTTTATTTATATAGACAAATATTATTATAGATTATAATAAAATTAATAATAAAAATATATATAATTATATATTATATTTATACATATAAAATAAATAAAAATTATATATAACTAAATCGATTCGACCGGTTCGATCACTAGTCCGACCAATGAATTATTTAACCAGTAGCTTCACCGGTTCGAAGAACAATCGTTTTCCAGAACATTGCTAAACTGTTGACTGGCCACGTCTATTTTTTTGTACACTGTAAATTAAAGTAACAGCCCAAATATATATTGCTCGAACTAAGCAGTGGCATCCCCGGAATCATCTAGGGCTTGAAGACCTTTCTTCCTCTGCCCTCCTCATCTCCTCTCGACTCTGTCACTGTGATTTCTACAGACACAGAGAAAATATAATTAAAGGAAGAGAAGCTAACTATCCAATCTTTGCAAGTAACTTAGATATATAGTATGGCGACTAAAAACTCTGCAAACCCCTCGCGAGCTGAAGAACTCAAACTCCTCGCCAATGAGGCTTTTAAAGGTATAATAACGGATAAGTTGTCTTTTATTGGATTTTATCTGTTTTATCAACGATAATATGTACATTTTGGTGCTAATATGCATTTCCTTTACATAATTTTTTGGTGGTTATGTTTCAGCGCATAAATATTCCCAGGCTGTTGATTTGTATACCCAAGCGATAGAGTTGAATGAGGATAATGCAGTGTACTGGGCTAACCGCGCATTTGCACACACTAAATTGGAGGAGTATGGAAGTGCTATACAGGACGCCACAAGGGCTATTGAAATCGATCCAAAATACTCCAAGGCAAGTACCGTTGTGTACTGATTGGTGTTTTTGTGAGCGAAATGGGAAAAAAAAGTTTCTCTTTTTTCTTTTTTCTGAGTTATGTGTGCGGCTTGTAAATGGTTAAGAAACCAAATATAATGGTTACTGATTTGTGTCTGTCTCTTCCAACGCAGGGTTATTACAGACGTGGTGCTGCATATTTGGGAATGGGAAAGTTTAAAGACGCTCTTAAGGATTTTCAACAGGTCCTTTTCTTTTATTTTCTCCCATTTCTTTAAACTCTTTTGCTAAATCATGCTTGTGCTACTCGATAACATTTCTTGAGGCGAATGGACAGTGTTATGTTAAGTATAGACTGGAGAGTGGAGACTAGTGTATTCTTTAGGTATATCATCATAGAAAGTTAATTGTGTATCATATTTGTGGTTTCATGTATTGTCTCGGAATAAGTGCTTTTGGCTTGCTTCTGCTTCATCGGTGGGCTTTGGCATCAGTAGACCATTGCTGTACCAAAATATACCTCGAGTTGTTCATAAGACTTCTATGACATATCTTGCTTTATTTATGATCTTTTTTTAAGTTCTTCGTCTTCAGATGGCCTTCTACCAGTTTAACTAAACCAGAAGAATTATGGCTTTTGATTTGTTCATAATGACTGACTGCCTGAATTGCATCACTGGTTCATATTCAAAAGCTTCATCTGTATTTTTTTTTTCAAAATTTTTTGACTTATTTTTGTCTCATGTTCCCGACATGTCTTTTGTGATTATTATTAT